TCCCATTAGTGTTGATATTTTCATCTTTTTCTATGAGTCATGAATGTTCTTAATGGCATCTAGAATGGTAAATCCTTTCCAGAATGTTTTCATTTTACTTCCCCAGGTCCATCAGATGATCTACCATCTATGGCAGCTATAGCCTTATGAAATGTATTTCTTAAATAATAAGAAATGAAAGTCAAAATTACCCCTTTGATCCGTGGACTGTCGAATGGATGTTAGCAAGCATGAAAACAACATTAACCTCATTGTCTATCTCCCTCAGAGCTCTTGGGTGATCAGGTGCATTGTCAGTGAGCAGTAATATTTTGAAAGTAATCCTTCTTCCTGAGCAGGCGTTCTCAACCGTGGGCTTAAAATATTCAGTAAACCATCTTGTAAACAGGTGTGCTGTCATCCATGCTTTGTTATTCCATTTATAGAGCACACACAGAGTAGATTTAACATATTCTTAAGGGCCCTAAAATTTTTAGAATAGTAAATGAGTATTAGCTTCATCTTAAAGTCACCAACTGCATTAGCTCCTGACAAGAGTGTCAGCCTGTCCTTTGAAACTCTGAGGCCATTGGCTTCTCTCTAGCTGTGAAAGTCTGAAATGGCATCTTCTTTTAATATACATCTGTTTGGTCTATGTTGGAAATCTGTTGTTCAGTGTAGCCACCTTTATTATTTATCTTAGGTCTTCTGGATAACTTGCTATAGCTGCTACATTAGCACTTGCTGTTTTATATTGCACTTTCATGTTATGGAGACAGCTTCTTCCCTTAAACCTCGTGAACCAACCTCTGCTAGCTTCAAACTTTCCTTCTGAAGCTTCCTCACCTCTCTCAGCCTTCTTAGAATTAAAGAGTTAGGACCTTGTTCTAAGTTTGGCTTTGGCTTAAGGGAATGTTGTGGTTGGTTTGATCGTCTATCCAGACCACTAAAACTTTCTCTGTATCGGGAATAAGGCTGTTTCGCTTTCTTATCACTCATGTGTTCAAAGTAGTAGCACTTGTAATTTCCTTTAAGAACTTTTCCTTTACATTCACAACTTAGCTAACTGTTTGGTGCAAGAGGCCTAGCTTTCAGCCTGTCTCAGCTTTTGGTATGCCTTCTTCACTAAGCTTAATCATTTCTAGCTTTTGATTTAAAGTGAGAGATGTGGGACTCCTCCTTTCATTTGAACAGTTAGAGGCTGTAGGGTTATTAATTGGCTTAATTTCAATATTGCTGTTTCTTGGAATGGGGAGGCCCAAGGAGAGGGAGGGAGGTGAGGAATGGCTGGTCAGCCCAGCAGAGTCCACACAACATTTATCAATTAAGTTCCCCATCTTATTATAAACAATTACAATAATAACATCGAAGATCAGTGATCACAAATCACCATAAGAAATAGAATAATAAAAGAGTTTGAAATATTGTGAGAGTTATCAAAATGTCACACAGAGATGTGAAATTAGCAAATGCTGTTGAAAAAATGGCACTGATAGTCTTGCTCAGTGCAGGGTTGCCACAAACCTTAAGTTCGTTAAAAACGCAGTATTTGAGAAGTGCAATAAAGTAAAGTACAATAAAATGGAGTATGCTTGTAACATATATTTTTCTACAAAAACTCACAGTTATATGTGTATGGTGAAGAGATGGTGTCTACAATAAGAAAGCATGAGCCTAAGTCCAAGTCCTAGCCCTTATTACTATTACATGAGCCTTAAGACTAATCTGTAAAATGGAACGTAATACTTGTTCTGCATAGCTCAAGGGCTTGTTACGAAAATTAAATGTGATAATGTAAATGCTTTACAAAATGTTCAATTTTTTTATTGTATCTGCTCAATATTGGGGGTGCTAAATATTTAGTTATAAGAATGATTAAAGTGAATGGATTCAAATGGAAGAGACTAGTCACGCTTTGTCAATGAGGCAAAGCTTACTGAGTTTGAGGTAGGAAAAAAGATGTGATCAGTGGGAAAAAAGCAGGATAAGTAATCCCATGTGCACTGTTTCAGAACTGGGCCAGAGTAAAGCCTATAGATTTACTTGGTTGTGGTAAAGCTCCTGAGAGCCTGTGTGTTAGTCAGGCAGTTATCGAAGGCACAGGTGGTGGTGGACATTAAACTCTATGATTAGGAGCTTTAATTTGATCTTGAAGGTAATTAAGCCCCACTGCTGGGCTCTGGGAAGGGATGTTATCTGAGGTCAGCATTCTGAGTGCTAGCTTCGGCCTAATTTGAAGGTAAAGAACAGCAAGCAGACGGTTAAGGAGATTAAACAAAAATATAGCCTTCAATCCTCCATGTGTTGCCACTTCCTAAAATGACCTTTTAAAGTGTTTAGTGTCTGAATTCAGGTCACATCATCAGCATGACCATTTGGAGGAGAATAGTGATTGCTTTCCCGCCTATGTTTATCTCTGAAGAGTGGCATATATTATTTAATAAGTGCCATTAAAACCATCAACAGCATGGTCTAGTGGAAGGGGTACTGGGCTAGTATAGTCTGACCATATGTTTGAGTTCTAACTCTAAATTGACTAGGAATTGAAGGTGAAACCAAATAAAGGAGTCAAGTTGCAGGTGACACGATCACAGGATTTTGTGCATGTGTTTCAGGTGTCTATAGTACACCTGTGTTATAAAAGGTGCCATGCTAAATGGCACTATAAATGTGAATGGAATATATATATGCCTTATCCTCAGAAGCTTATTGATTAATGGAAAAAAGATGCATATAGAGAATCATAATGACGATGGTGACGATGGTGATGATGATCACATAAAATAAGTGAGAGGTAGTAGAAAAGTAACCCCCCCCCCAAAAAAAAGATAAATAATATTGGGTCTAGATGAAGAATAGGGCAAAGCATTTCCTGTACCCATGACACTAACTATTTTATTCATTAATCAGTTTGAATATCCATTAACATATTATAAGCTGTAATTAAGTTTTGATTATCTTTAGAGGTATATAATTAGAGGAAGGTACCACAAACATCTAATTCTGTATAGAACCATAAAAAATATTTTTTTTAAGTGAGGGATCTCAGAGACTATCTATTTCAACACTTTAATTTCATGGATTAGGAAATTGGGATCAAAGAGAAAAGTGGTTGGATGTAAAAGGTAGAACCAGGACAGAACTCAGCTATAAGGGATATTTACAGGAAAAATAATAATTCAATTTTTGTTACCTCAAGAAAGTGGTAGTACTTTAGTGCTGTTAAAAAGCCAAATCAGACTTTTCTGGATTTCTGTTGTTGTTCATCTGAAAACTTAATTAAATTAAAGTTTAAAAAATTACATGCTCTCTTCGTTAGAAATTTGCAGGGGGTGTATTTTGTCTCAAATAAATTTAGAAGTTTCTAATTTTAGTCATTTATTTAAAATTTTGGGTATTTTATTTTAATTTTGCTGAATTAAAATTTTGATATGTGAATTATATAGGAACATGAAAAACAATGTAATTATACATGTGTAATTGGCATAAAAAACATGGATAAGAAACAAAATTTTTGGAATCAATATCAAAAAATTATTCAGTGTAAATCTTAACTGATTTAGTAGGTAATATTGCAACAGTATGAATAATTGGCAAGACTGTGCATTTAATTCTGTCAAGAGATTTGAATAAACAAGTTTAAAATAAGTAAGGAAATAACACAGACTAGGTAAAAGGATGTATTCATAATTGAGATGAAGGAGGGACGTTTCATTAAAACAGACTGGTGTTTCTCAGTGCACTGTGAAAAATGCAGATTTCTGAACCACTCCCCTGATTTACCAAATCAGAGTCTCTAGCATGTGACAGGCTCTCTTAGTTGGTCTTGATGCACACTAGGGACATTTTCAAGGGGCAAGAATATGTTTCTAATGTGTCATGCTGTTATTGGTCAAGAAAAGTGGTTAGTGGCTTAACAGAAGGAAACAGGTAATCAGAGTGAGAGACACTTATAAGTAGATAGAGACCTCCATGGAGAATGGGCTCAGCCCCTTGCGCTCCTGTGCTCAAGCTCTCCCTGATCTGTTTCTTGTGCCTTTCACAGCTAGGCTGTTTTCAGCAGTCTACCCTTGGGTCCTCAGTTCTTCTCATTATTCACAGGCTCTTGCTGACCTCAGACATGTAGCGACTCAGAGTCCATGACCCCCATCTACTTCTCTTGAGGTTACCTCTTGCCAGGGCTTTGGCCTTCACATCTACCTGCATCCTGGAATCTGCCCCCAGATTCAAGCTTATCTCTGTATTTTACAGAGCATTTTACAAAGGTCCTGTCATTGTTAAAAGTGGCAAAAAATAAGAAGGAGCAAAATATGAACAGAGATATCCATGTTACTAGTTAAGCCTTTGACTGTGGCTCTGGAAATCAAAGGTACCATGTTGGCCATTTGTTGTTCATTACATTTGACTAATTCAACCCCAGCATCTACCTCACTGAGCAGAATTTACTATTTACCCTGGACTATTTTGTAAAACATGGAATGCTGGCAGCAATAAACTCAGAAATTTGGGGATAAGCATATAGCAATGGTATATATCAAGTCTGAAAGAGGTTGTCCTTTAAACAACGGTCCTAAAAACAGCTAAATATATAGATCCGAACTATAAAAATTATACTTAAGATGTTCTTAGGTTTGAAGCTTTTTTTATTTCTCAAAGAGCTATTTCATTTTCAGAATTCTTGTTTATGTACTTCATTATTTTCTTTTTTATAAAAGTAAATCAGACAGAAAAACCTAGTAAGTTGTGTTTAGTGTTCATAACCCAAGAAATGACATTTCCAGCTAATTAGGCTGCCCTATCCTGAGAGCTTTTGCAGATGTAGTTCAATTAGAGAAATAGATGGGCTGCAGAATTCGGCTAAAGCTGTCTGACCCTAGCGCAGCGCCCCCACCGTGAAAGACAACACCTCCCTGCTGACATCAGAGGGAGATTAGATTTCTTAAGAACCATGAAGAGATCAAACATTGTCCCCTGTTAAAATACACACACCTCTACTTCAAATAAATCATCTTCTCTTTTAGATCAAAACTTCTGCAGTCTGAGGAAAGGCAACTGCAGAGGCAGCGTGTGTGGGCAAGACCTTAAGTCCCATTTGTGCACGTGTGCGGAGGGATATGCTTTAAGCCAGGACGGAAAGTATTGTGAAGGTAACATGCGGTCTCTAACTGAAGCATGGACACCCACCTGAGCCAGTGGCTGGTCTGTAGTGTGTCACGCAGAGCCTCAGTGTGAAACCGATTTCATTCTCCTACTCCTTCTTTTCCCAGAAAAACAATTTTATTCCCCGCTTCCCTGTTTTTACAGCCTTTGTAATACTTTCAGATCTTCTTTATATCTTGTGTTCCTACATCGAATGATTCGAGGCTTCTCAGCGGTCTTCTGAGTGGACTCCATGGACCTTTGTGGGTTCGACCATGTGCTAGTTCCATAGCTATCACAAGATTCTTAGAGTATTTGACTCCACATCTCTCCCATGAAGGTCTAGTGGGAACCTAGGAAAACTGTGGAGCAGGCTGATCATCTAGGGCTCCTCCTATTTGAGACCTTAGGCCAAATTTAAGGAGCCTAGGAGAAGTTCCGAGCCTTTCTACGGGGAACCTCAGTGAGCTACTAATGAAAAGAATCCAATGGCTGCAGCACAGATTCAGTAGAAGTAGCTGGGGTGACTTGAGGTCAACCCAACACATACCCCTTACTATAGTGCCCTGCTTACCTGGGACTAGACAGAGGATGCCATCTCATAGAACAGTGACCTGAAGGCTGATTGTCAGCCTGAGGGACACTGCTAGGGAGTGTGCCCACATTAAGGTGAGGAGTCCTGTCAGCATTGTGAGGCTGAAGAGCAGAGCATGAGTGTCTATACTTGTCAAGAACTTTCAACAGCCCTGCCTTAAGTGACTATATTTTTCCAGGGGAAATAGTACTACTTTTTCCCAATGATAATTTTAGTATTAAAATCTGTATTAGAAAGTATAAACTATGACAGTATAAAAATGGTTTTTATGATAATTGAACTGATTTCTTTCACCGTTTGCTGGTGTAGCAAAAACAGTCTTTCCATGGTCAGGTACAACAGATGCAAGTATGAGATACCCTAATTTGGGCTGACTTAGTGATGCTATGATTTATTTTAAAAGAACAACCATCTGACTGTGTTTTGCCATTGTCATTGTGTAGATGTTAATGAATGTGCTCTTTGGAACCATGGCTGTACTCTTGGGTGTGAAAACATCCCTGGATCCTATTATTGCACATGCCCTGTAGGATTTGTTCTGCTTCCTGATGGAAAACGGTGTCACCGTAAGTCACAACAAGTATTTATTGTGTTATTTCCTTCCTTTTCACTGATATTTCTTTTCTTAATTAAAATTTTTTTTTATTTTTTTATTTTTTAGATGAGGCAACCCTTGGTTGACCTCACAGATTGCAAGGACCTTGGCAGTTTACAATCCCTTATTTTTTTTTAATTTTTATTTTTTACACCTACAGCACCTGGTCTTCCTAGGTGGTCTCCCATCCAAGTACTAACCAGGTCTGACCCTGCTTAGCTTCTGAGATGGAATCGGGCTTGTTCGGTGCAGCATGGCAATAGACTTCACTCATATTTCTAAAGTGGCTGTGGTCTGGGTTGGTGGTCCTCGATCAGCAGTATGCATCAGAGTTACCTTGGAGTTTTATTTTGTTTTGCTTTTTAAAACATGAATGACTGGACTTTATCCCAGATCTATTAAATCAAAACCTCCAAGGTTGGGAAACAAGCATATACATATATTTTTTTCCTGTTTCTTTATCCATATTTTATTATATTTTATCATATATCACTGAAGGATAAACATGTAAAAAACCACAAACATGATGTATTATTATGTCTAAAACAATAAACTACCTGTAATTCTCTAATATCATCTAATATCCAGTCAGTTTTCAGGTATAACCATAATACCATTATCACACCTAAAAAATAATAATTCTTTAATAACACCAAATATGTCATCGGTTTTCAAATTATCTTAAAAATTTTTTTAAAAATTGCTTTTTTGACTAAGTGTCCAGACAAACCCCATGTATTGTGTTAGATTGATACACCTCTCTTTTATTCTACAGATTCTCTCTCCTCTTTTTCCCCTTGTTTGTTGAAGAAACCACTTCTTTTCCCTGCAGAGTTTATCACATATTAGATTTTACCGATGGCATGTGTGTGATGTCCCTGTTCTTCTACAAACCCGTAGTTAGATCTAAAGACTTGATTAGACTTGGCTTTGACGTTTTTGGCGAGAATACTTCATAGGTGTGGTTATAGTTCCATCAAGAGTCACGTTATAAACTTCCCTAATAGTTTTTCTTTTTTGTTTTCTCTTTTTCTTTTTAAGAAACAAGCTCTGGATTGTTTTACTAAAGAAAAATTTTTCATAATTTACTTTTCACCAATATGTTCTGGCACATTTCTAATGATATAGAATCACCTGTGTGCATGTTCTGTGGTATTTTCCAATTCTGTGTCCAATTCAGTATGATTGCCATTGTTGTGATGGTCATCAGTTTTGGCCAATATGGTATAGTACTGTATTTCAGATTGCCAAAAGGCTGGGCAGTTGCTGACAAAGATGGCCAGTTTCCTTTTGCCCTGTCTGATCATTTTTAGAGTCTACTTGTACATGCAGAACTTACTTTCCACTTTTCGTAATGAATTGGAGTCCAGAGTTGACTCTAGTGACTTTTCTGTCTTCTTTTCAGCTACCATCTTCCCTCTTGCGGTATAAGACTGCCGCCAACTAAACACACCTTGAAGCTGCCAAGATGGCTGGGGCAAGAAAGAGCCCAGTCATCTGTCAGGAAATGGTCGTAGCAGTCATTATTGATCCTTTCCTAGATTCATTATTTCCTCAAGGTTTTCAAATGGTGATGTCTAGTTCTAGTATTTCCTTTTAATTACTAACTGAAATACCTTTGTAAAGAAAACTTTCTCTCATTAGCTATTTGGTTACTTCAAGATATAATTCTTATAGTTAAGGCAGGATAAATGTTGGATATTTAACATTTTTGATATGTTTCCACCCACTACGGTTGCTATCCTTACCAATGAGCAAACCATCTCCTCTGGCCAGTGGGAGCCTCTGTTTTTGATAATTTTCTTGTTAACTGTAGCACATATTTTCCAGGCTTGTCTTGTACATTCTACATTCTTGACCTGGAATTTGCAGTCTCTCAAGGAGCATTTCTTCCTTTTGATGAGAAACTGTATTTGCAGAACATAATCTGCTACTAACTAGTCATTGTTTCTAGGTCTTTTAAGGTATCAGAGCTAGGAATACACTATTTAAAAGAAGTACATTATGAGTTTATATTCTCAACTCAAATTTAGGATTACATACTCAGATACCTTCTTATAGAATTTTTATCAAATCTACTAGTATAGCTAAGTAGAAAGGAAAGAGCTAAGTAGGAATGTAAATAATGTATATCGTCTAGTCCTGCTTCAGAGATGATGGAGAATAAGTCAGTCTGGATGTCTGGATATCATATATGCTTATGAAATCAGGCACATTAAATGAATAGATGATAATGAATTTCTTGGACATTACCTATTACTTTGGTGCTTGTCTATGGAACTTGACCTTCTTCTAAAACCATGTGGTTTACCTGTTGGCAAATATACTTAAGTGCATAGTGCTAATGTATTATAGAGTCTATGATGTGCCATGCACGACGCACATAATCTCATTTGATTGCCAAAACTTCTAGAACGTCTATGGTATATATTTTACATTTTAATCTTTGATGTACTTGGAATTTATTTTGATATATGTTATAGGGTAGGAATTTAACTTTTACTCCAAATCATTACTCAGTTATTTCTCGACCATTTATTGAATTATTTTTCATGCTCAATGATTTAAAATACCTTACTAATATGCTATATTATTACATGTACTTGAATATTTTCTAAAATGAGCTTTCTATCTGGTTCTGTTATCCTCTCTGTCTATTTCCTCACTCATTACCCACTCTCTTAATTATTATACCTTTATGATACATTTCAATATTTGCTAAGCGTCTCTCACTTCATTCTATACCTAACACAGTCTTACAGTATTCTTGGTTTTCCCTACTCATACAATTTGTTTTCCAAATGAACTTGAGAATCATTTGCACAAGTTCCATTGAAAATATTTGGGGATTTTGATAACTAATAACTTTTAAAAATATTATTTGACATAAAAGAAATTTAGAGGAAAGTAAACTCATCTTCTATAATCAGAAGTTTTGCTTTAAATTTTTTCAATTTGAAATTTTTTCTTTTAACATCTCCGTTACCATAGCAATTCATAAATATTTGATCTTTATTTAACTTACTCTTTACAGAATGGCATTTTTTATTAGCAAATGATTTTACTAAATTTCCATAAATCTGATTTAACACTAACCTTGACCTTATTCTTTGTTAATTAGAGTTAATTTCCTGTCCAAGCAATGCATCTGAATGCAGCCATGAGTGCGTTCTGACTTCAGATGGTCCCATATGTTTCTGTCCTGAAGGTTCAGTGCTTGGGACAGATGGAAAAACATGTAGTGGTAAGTTTATTTACCTTTTGTTTGTTTGGAAATATTCATTTTCTAAGTGATAGTAAAAATTCCATCTTATTGGCAAAAGAAAATAGATTATCCAATATTATACACTGGAAGATATTTATTCAATGGATTAACATAGATTTAAGTAAGATTTTTTTTGTTTTGTTTTGGTTTTAGATAGCAAGTATAGTGGTTATGAACAAGGATTTTGAAATTAGACAGCCAGAGGTAGCACAATCGGTTACTACCAATGTTATTTCAAACTAGCCCTCTCTTGATGTCAATTTCCTTATCTGTAGAGGTTAACAATACCTGCCTCTTGGGTTTGTGGCCAGGATTAAACAGATGGTGGATGCAATGTGCTTAGCCTGTTTCTTGCACCTATAAGTACCTTTCTACTTTTATCTTCATAGACTTAAGCATATATAGGACTGGATGTAACTCATAATTGTCAGAAGAGTTACATGTGACTTTTTTTTTTGAAATGAAGCAAAAGAAGTCAAGAGGCCAAAAATGTGAGAGAGAAAAAATATATATTACTCATTAGGAAGAGTTAGAGCTGCCAAACTCATCAACATGTATTTCATATCCCAGCCAGCTACCAGTGTACTTGTTCCTGAGCTCAGTGGTAGAACAAGAAGACAAGGGCCATTGGGATATGTAGGATTAACATTCAAGATATCGGGTTATAGGGAAGTGGAATATGGTGACATTTTGCTTCTAATCTCTGAAAAATAAACTTGATTGCAGCAGTATGAATGATTGTGAAAATGGTTTGAAAAATTAACGTGTACTTGGCTCCTTTCAATATTTTGATGAGAAATTGTTACATTTTTGATTGACATAGCATCATTACCAAGCCATTGTTTTGTTTGTTTGTTTGTTTGTTTTTGTAGGCTGTTCATCACCTGATAATGGTGGATGTAGCCAGCTCTGCATCCCTCTCAGCCCAGTATCTTGGGAATGTGGTTGCCACCCTGGCTATGACCTACAACTGGACAAAAAAAGCTGTGCAGCTTCAGGTTAGTGCTGAGGGTGTTTGAAAGTGCTATTTTCCAATTCTCAGGATATTAGTTAGTGTAACATAAGCTGAGCTCTGAAAAGTTCATTTAGAAAGAGAGCATTAAGTTGCTTTTGGCTTCTGAGTAGAAAGTCTGATTTTTTATTTTTGGAAATGGAGAACATCACATTATACATATAAATAATATAAATAATAACCATGTTTTTGAGGAATATTTAGAAGCAAATTAGTATTTGGCAAAGATTTGCTATAATATCAAGTATGGTATTCCAGTATATGTGAAAGTCCAGAATAGACTATATATATGTATATAAACATATCACTTTATTGTTAAGAGTAATTTAATAAATATTTGTTGATTGATTTGATTTTCAACTCTCCAGTGATTGTACTAATAATAATACTCTGACAAATTCTGTTCTTTTTATGTCAAAATTTAAGATGAAGTATGCTTCAACTATTTTTTCATCTTCTGATATTACATCTCTTATGTCCTTCAATAGCCTCGAGATCCTAGATTTATACCAATTGATTTTCTCTCTCCTGAGGTTTATCATGCTTGTAATCTGGGATAACATAATGATGAGCCTGTAGAGCTTGCCTTATTGAGAGCCCAATACTCTTAACTTCTCAGGGCCCTAGTTAATATAGCATAATCTGAGATCTGAAAATTAACAAGGGTCTTGTTATTAACTCAAATAATTATTCTTCCCTTTCAGAAGTGCCTAGGCCTGAGAAAAGCATTTATTTCAATACAAATTAATGCAGTCTGCTAATATTAATATGTTTCAGTATGTGTGAATTAAGGAGATTACAGCACTAAAACTTGCACTGTTTAGTTACAGTGTTGGTTATTTAATGCTGGCTCTTTCTATAAGTAATTTGTATTTTGAAAGCAGGCACCTGCTTTTAGACAGGGAGGAATCTGGTGATAAAAATTCTTTCTCATGAAAGAGGAACTCTTCTTTTCTGTCTTAACGTACACCAACTTCTGGGAAATTAAGAAAAGAAGCACTGCAGAAATTAAGGAAGAGGGCGCAATCAAAGGAAAGAGTCAGAAGTGCCTTTTGGGTTTTAAGGCGTATTTTAAATGGAGCCGTATTTGAATTTGGTTATCAGGACCACAACCATTTTTGCTGTTTGCCAATTCTCAAGATATTCGACACATGCATTTTGATGGAACAGATTATGGAACCCTGCTCAGCCAGCAAATGGGAACGGTTTTCGCCATAGATCATGACCCTGTGGAAAATAAGGTATGATTTTGTCGCTTGAACAGATGTGCGTTTTAAGGACGGAGTGGAGGATTTTACCCTAACAGATGACCTCGGCTACTTGAAAATCCTCTGCTAAGCTCTGATCCATTAGGCACAGAAAAATTTAAATATAGATATTGAAACATTATTTGATGAACTCTAAGGACTTTCTGTTATCATAACCCTGGTCCTCGATGTAATTCAGCCATTTCATTGAAGATGATTGAGTAGGACCTTAAGTTTAGTTTCCTTTCTGGAGATGAGGATGGGAACCTAGCACAGTGTCGTACACATAGCAGGAGCCCAGAAATAGTTTTTGCTGGTAGTAAGAGAAATGGGAGTTTGGGGTGGGGCATAGAAAGTATGGATTAGTAGTTTGCATTTAGTATATATCATTGAGGAAAGGAATTCAGTGACTTCTTAACCATGAAAATCAGGAAACTTAAGCTTTATGGCTCACATGAGAATGGCAGTCTAAATCATGATATCATTTACCTAATAATCAGTTTTTACATGAAGTTTTTATATATAACTTAGGATTTCTATATTATCAACCTAATTAGCTGACTATTTGGTCTTTAATTTCTTAGTTGTATTTGTGCTGTTAGAATGTACTTGAAATATGTTACAGTGTTTTCTGGAAATTAATCCCTCAATATTTATAAATTTACAGAGTTATTAATCTCACTCCACAATTAGTTATTATTAGATTAATTCCCAGAATTTTAAACTTTGTGCTTTTATTTCTTCCTGATTTGAAGCAGTCTGGTAAATGGATAAAGAAGAATGAAGCAAATTAATTCTGTGTTTAATTGGTATAGCTCAATGGCCAGATATAACTATTTTTGCAAATAGAAGTTTAATAATTAAAAAAAGTAGTTTCTTTTTTTCTGAGCTGAATCTATATGACTCCATGGAAGAATTATAATAACAGGAAAAAATACTTAATAGAAAAAATTAGTTCAATATTCCTTTATTACCAAACTAGTTTTTTGCTGAGCAGTCAGTATTTTTACAACTAGGTGAATAAGGAGACTTAAAATGAACCTTGAGTCATGTGGCGGTTTTTTATTTCTCTGGTCAATGTTCTCATTTTCTTGCTTCTCAAATGGTGTTCCTTGGACCAGTGGCCTTAACGTCACTTGGAGCTTGTTAGACCTGCAATTCTCAAGCTCCACCTCTGATTACTGAATCAGAGTCTGCATTTTAACAAGATTCCCAGGAGATTCATGTGCACATTCGAATTTGAGAAGCAGAGCTTAGAGGAGAGTTTTTTAATATACTCATTTTGTATTATGGAATAGAATCTTTTCTATTTTATCTAGAAAGATGATAACCCATTATTTAATGAATTATCATTTTTGTGAATACTCCCATCATTCATTATAAGTTGATGTACCAGTTAAAAGTTCACAAATGCTATCATTGTCAGCTGACCCATAGCAGTTTTTAACAATCTCATTAAATACTTGTACCTGTTTGATAATCTGCATACTAGACTGAGAAAGAACTTTGCACCTGCAAGGTATATTCTGTTGCACTATATCCAATGTGGATTATTAAATGAATTTGTATAAGATTAGAGATGACAAAAGATCTTAACAAATATCTAGTTTAACTTCATTATTTTTATAGTCAAGAAAATTGAGATTTAATGACTTGGCCAAGACAATCGAACAAATAAGTGGTGAACCTGGGAGGAACCTATGTCGCCTGACTTGCACCAAAGTGGAGTGCTGTGGACCGAGCATTAGAAGATATGGCTCAGCATGTAGTCCCCATTAAACTACCAATCATTGCTCTCTTTCAGGTTGTAGAAGCCTAGGGTTCAAGTACAATGGCTTTGTTATTGACCAGTGATCAAAGATTAATAAATTACCAGTAGCAATAGAACTGTGTACCCGGTGTAGGGCTAAGGAGTTTTATATATTACATGAATGCACATGATTATAATGGATATTATTATCCTCAATTTACCAATGAGGGACCTCAGACTCTGCAACATTGACTAACTTGCTTAAGTTGACACGTATCTGGGAAGCAGTATAGTTGGAGCTCAGTTGCAGGTGTGTCTATGTCCAAAGCCAGGCTCTTAACGATTCCACTGTATGATATTCAACCCATTTGCATGCATTCCATATTCATTTTTTAAAACAAAGCAGACTGAAATTCCTGTGTTCTCTCTTGTAGGTATACTTTGCCCATACAGCCCTCAAGTGCATAGAGAGAGCAAATATGGATGGTTCCCAGAGAGAAAGGCTTATCGAGGAAGCAGTAGATGTGCCAGAAGGTCTTGCTATAGACTGGATTGACCGTAAACTCTATTGGACAGACAGAGGGTACGTTTCTTCCTTCAGTTCTTAGCCACAGGGGATGGGATTGATGGGATAGGTGACACAGCTGGCTTCATCCTCCACTTTGAACACAGGGGACCTGGCTGGGATTGGAGGATGCCCCAAAGCTGTCCACGCTCCCCACCACCCTTCCCTACCACCAAGCAGGATGTTTCTCTTTTCATCATAATTGGATCTGTAGCCACAGAATTTTAAGGACCGAGAAAGTAACATGTGTTTTGCACTTTAGGCTATTGTAATCAGAGAAACGCAAAAGCTGTCTGAATACGGTCCACAAGCATTCTTTGAGCATCTGCTATGGATAGGGCGCTCTCTCAGGTAACAAGAGAGATATGAAGGGGCATGAGGAGTGTTCCATCTTTTCAGTTGGCTCACAGTTTAGCTGGGAAATAAGATACATATACAAGGAAAAAACTAATACAAATGCTTGGCCTAAATTTCAGTACAAGAAATGTCCTAGGGTTTATGGCCATGCCACTCTGAACGTGCCTGATCTCATCTGATCTCCAAAGCTAAGCAGGGCTGGGCCTGGTTTGTACTTGGATGGGAGACCACCTAGGAATATCAAGTGCTGTAGGCGTTAAAAAAAAAATGTCGTAAGGCCATGAACGAATAATTGCCAAATGAGGTGTTACACTCAGAGGGAGTGCTGGAAGGAGCTTGAGGGATCAACTGGCTCAGACTCCCCATTTTGAAGATAGAGAAACTTAGGCTTGGAAAAGCCGAGTGATTTATTCAAGTTACACAACATAAAAGCGACAAACCTTAGACTTGAATCTACATTCTGGCTCTCTGTTAAGTTACATGAAGTAGAGAATGAGAGCTTCGTGCTGGAATTGTGAGGAAAGTTCTTGTGAAAATGGAGAAATGGTCTGCTTCCCCTTTAGTGGGAAATGACAGAGCCAGAGAGAAGCTGTGGTGTTTCTGTCTTGGGGCATACTGCTCTTGGGGCTGCAGGAAGGGCTGCTGCACGTGCGTGTATGTGTGAGGTGGCCTATGTGAACCCCAAGAATGTGGGGTTAGGGGGAGGGTGCAGGAAGTGCCTGCAGCCCTCATGCGTACTGTGAGAGCCCCCTTCCCTGCTTCTGAGAGAGGAAGCTAACCACAGAGCACCTTGCAGGAGAGCATCGGAGATGCTCTGTGTTAGAGGATATTTTCCCAGAGTCACTTAAAACTATAAAGTGAAATCGTGGCCAACCTGAATATCTAATACTTATGCAATTATGTTAAAAGAAAGAAAAATTCATTAGGGTTTCACGTCTGTGAAATCGGCGTCTCAACAGAGGGAGAAGTCCCAGGGAGCAGGCTTATATGCTTGGGGGTAGGCTTTCTATGTCTCAGAAAATTTCTTTTTGTCTGGATAACCCATGGGAAACAAATACGTTTTTAAAAATTAGCCATGTGTATGGTGTGATGTACAGTTATCAATAATATGGCACATTTATATCTAGTGAGCATATTTTTGTACATTCATTTGTTCATTTAACCATACCTTCATTCTTTTATTCTTTGGATGTGTATTTATTGAATAAATGAAATGTTCCAGATACTGCTCTAAGAGTTTTATATCCATACCATTGAATCTTCAAATGGTAAATTTTCTTATCTCCAACTTAAAGATTAAAAAAATTGAGAATTAAAGAGGTAAAAATAACTTTACCAAGGTCAAACAGCCGGCAGATAGTGCATCTGGAATTTGAACTTAAGGATGACCATTTCAAAGCTTGAAATCTTAATAATCATAAATATGTGCTACCATCCCCAACAAGAGTTGATTAAAATGTGTTCAAACCGGAGTCATTTAACAAATGAAAATCAACTTCAGTTGTAATAATGATAAAAATCATAATAACAGCCTCCTCTGTGTTAAACCTATTTAAAAGGACATTTAAAATGTCAGCTGTGCATAATCACAGAGCTTGTACATGGCTGTTCTCAGAAAAGTAAACGTTGATCAGGACAGCAGATGTTAGCCACTATCGACCCCTCTTAAGGATGCTGGGTCTCCTCGTATTTCCCACATTTGCCTGGCCCCTCTAATTTTAACAGTGTTTAATTAATAGCACCATGGGACCTACTGCTGAGGTGATGTCTTTAGGAGATAGACAGGCGCTATATCCTGGAGAAGAAGATCTCAGATTCCCCAGTTCACTGACTTCAGTAATAACAAGCCCTTCTGAAGTCCTCTTTCCTCTAAAGGCAGCTGCTAAAAGAAAACCTTTAATTTGTCTGGAAATGAAAGGTTTATAGTTTGAAAACCTTGATATTAGCTAGAAATTGGATTTAAATAACTGAGATTCCAAGCTTCTGATATTAGATTATATGGTAACTCTTAACCATATTAGATTATATGGTAACTCTTAAAAGAACCAGAGTGGATGCTTTTAGTTTATATTGGCTTAGGAAAAGACAGAGTCAAATTAACATCTAACAGTAGGAAGGAAGCTAATTGATAATTCCACTGGCAATGCTATTATTTAGTACTAAGGAAACCTGATTCCTACAGTCAATTACCCAGTAAAAAAAAAATTAGAGTGAAAAAATATATAAGATATTTGTTTGCACATTCTTTTAAAAGATAACAAAAACTACCATGAGGTGAAAATTACTCTCCCAGGATTTCAGATGGACAACTCTTGTGCTGGAGAGTCTTAGAGGATCCTACTGACCTTGGGACCAATAGGTAGTGGATATAAAGAGAAAGATGTTCCACCAGATTAAGGGTTATGATTGCACTCGTCTGAGCCCGACTGTCCGTGCTCGTCTTTGCTTTCTCATTACCAACGCTGGAGTTTGAGATTTGCTTTCTGGCTAAATCAAATAGAAATGTATTATTGGATGAATCCCTTGGGGAGCTTTGAAAGTAAATTCCAGCAATCTTGCCTGAGACAGCTCCAGAGTCAGGAGTTTCTGTTGGTCTCAGTTCTCATTACCTCACTCCTGCTCAAAACAGCAAGAATTTAGAGATGATATAACAATGAGAATAGAACTAACTGTCACGAGCAAATAGCCTCGGAATTCCTTCCCTCCCACCAAAAGAGCAGGCAGTGACAGTTGTATCTGAGTGACTGTGACACATTGAGTTCAAAAATACCTCCCGCCCAGCGGTACCCTTCTGATGACCACTTCATTTGGGATTAAAATTACCTTTTAAAAGTGGCACTAGAGTATAAATGGTTTGGAATTATCCACTGTCCTGACTTGGTGATTTGTAAAGTATATGTGACCCAGCACAGGCTCTGAGCTAATTTTACCTTTACCTTCCTCCTGCCTGTAGACTGTAAGGAGGAATTTGTAAAGCCCCTTCCCTGCCCAGTGGCTAGAAAGTGCACTCTTAATAAGCCACTTACAGAAAATCTCCTTAGCGTTCTGTAAAACCAGGAGGAGAGGATGGTCCTGCCCTGTGTTTCTGGGCAGGCCTGTCTCATGTGGACAATGCCTACAAGACCAAGGGGCTAAACCCTTACCAGATGTTTGCTGAATGAAATATAATGTGCAGTGGGGAAACAGGGCCAGCAAGCAGCATATAAGAACAAGGTTGCGGTAGGCCCTTACCAGATGTTTGCTGACCGTGTTAAAGGTAGTTACACTTTCTAGTTTTGGTAGGAAACAGGGAGAACAGGCAGGCCGTGGTGGGGGTGGGATGCTCCTCTTACTGCCTCTGCCTGTGTTCCTGCCTGCTCCAGAAGCTGCTCCGAAGCCCAGGTTACCTCGCAGGCCAATGACAGGGTGTAGGGGGTGTGGGCTTGCAGAATGGATTTTAGCATTTGACTCCACCCAGTTTTCTCCTTCCTATTGCCACTGTCCTAGCTCAGTCACATCATCTTTTGCCCACCTTGTCCTCTCTACACAAAAAACACAGCAAACTTTCTAAAGTGAGGTTATGACTGTTCCATGCTCTTTTAGGTCTCCTGGACTCTGCCCTTGCTGATTTCTCTGCTTAGGGTGCTCTTTGCCTCTCCACTCATCTTCCCTCTCCCCCTCCTCCCCCTGACTGTCCTAAGCAGAGAAGGCCAATCCTTGGCATAAGTAGGCGCTTGCTCAGTAAATGTTTGCTTGATAATAAAGATTTGTCTCACAAATAAATGGAAACATTAGGAAACAAGAATTTTCACCTCTGCCAGATCCCAACGTGTTTTTTCTTTAATGGACAGTTTAGCATATTATAATTCAGTACTTTCATTTGTCTTAGTATCACATGGAAGAAAATTAAAATCACCATGAATCACCCCTACTGTCCTTGTGCTTGCTGTCTCTGTGGCCCTTTGAGGTCTACTCTTCCTCCTCCTGCGTTCTGTGACCATGAGGCTGACATCTTCTTACCACTGGCTTCCATTGGTGCCAGCAGGAGATAGGAGGTTGTGAAGAGAAAGAGACGATAGAATTTAGACTGCTGGCTTTGTCCCTGCCAGGCCACTGACATGATTTCCTCTTACTTTATCCTTTCACTGTGTATTTTAGTTTCCTGGGATAACTGTTGAGATGCTAATGAAAAGACTATGTTTAAAAAAAACTTGTGGGCATTTGGTCCTGACTTGTGTGTGAGTGTGTGTACGTGTGCGTGCGCATGCGCGCTCATGAAGGTAGTTTAGAACACCTGTCTTTGCATTCAGTAAGAAAGGGACAAGGAGTGATTTTGTTTACAAAGTAAAGTTGTTGTAACAAGCCCCTCTGTATTCCACATGTTTTAGGAAATCGGTCATAGAAGGCAGTGATTTAAGTGGAAAACATCGTGAAGTAATCATTCGGGAAGACATCTCTCAGCCACGAGGAATTGCTGTCCATCCAGTGGCCAAGTAGGTACTTGTGAAATTCAGGTGCCTTTCTGTAGAGATCATGTGACAGTTCATGTTTGAAATGCTAATGTCTAAAATTTGTCTTAAGATCTCAGGTGGCCAGTGGAAATAGATGCCAAGAGAATCCAGTAGATTTGTTCATATCTTCAGAAATGATGTGGCTAGCATGATTTCCTCATTTTTAAAATGTCTTTTCATTTTCTGTTCTTGTATAAAAAATTTTTTTGTTTAGATACCCTTTCATTTTAAGCAAATTCAATTTCTTTCTGAAAAATAAATGGGCTGTAATTTATTAACCAATTAGATATAAGCCCATTAAACTACTTTCTTTAAAAATCTACATTATTGCTTTCCTGAGTGGAGGATGATATTTGTATTGTATGACTTATGAATTCTATTTAGAAAAATCATAAGATGAATTCAAACAATATATCATTCCTAGATTTAAAAAAGAAGAAATAGAAATCATAAAAGATTTTGGAGATTATTTTGTTAATTATGCATTAGTGACAAATATAGATTTAGGTTCAGAGAATTAAGGAGTCACTGATTCCTTCCAAGATTTTAAAAAACAAGGATAATAACCAACCTTATTTTATTTACCATGGTCTACGGGAAATAATATATTGGTGACAAATGATTTGGAGCCAGCAACATGGTTAAAACAGTGAGAATATAACCATCTCTAAACAGGCCAAAGAAAAGATATTGAGCCATATTGACCTCAAAAAATCTTCGTCAGCACACCATGTGATTTATAGAACTTAAAATTAACCAAGTTAACTGAGTACATTGTAAAAAAGATAAATGTACTCTTCCTTTATGTTGTAATTTTACATATATAGTGAGTTTTAAATATGTATAGCAAAGGGACAAGCTGGCAAGATTTCATTGCCTTTTGCAGAATGAAATGTTAATTTAAGATATGCCCTTAAACATACTTGCAATTAGTAATATATTATAATTTTTTAAATTAATAATTCCTTTCTTATCCTATGACCTGAGCCTTAATTCAGCATTTCTTGTCTAAGATGCTCTACACAGAAAAGTTTTTGCTATTGAAAAATTATTCACAGTGTTATACTTTCTCCTTCTGTGTACCACTTTCGTTTATCCTAAAGTGATTTACATTGACATTCCAATGATGAGAAAATGGAAGAATTTTTTTTGGGTGTGCAAATTTTATTTGTTGTATGCTTTCTTGATTAAAGGAGATTATTCTGGACTGATATGGGAATTAATCCACGAATCGAAAGTTCTTCTCTTCAAGGCGTTGGCCGACTGGTCATCGCTAGCTCTGAGCTGGTCTGGCCCAGTGGAATAACGATTGACTTCTTAACCGACAAGTTGTATTGGTGTGATGCCAAGCAATCTGTGATCGAAATGGCTAATCTGGATGGTTCGAAACGCCAAAGACTTGCCCAGAACGATGTAGGTGAGACTTTGGGATGGGTGATATCTTCATCTTGCCTAAGAGTTGATGGATGTTAAAAACAAAATGTGTTTACACACACACACACACACACACAAACACTCACACTTAACCTTATGGTGAGAAAGAAATAGAGACAAACAGACTGACAGACTTAGCCAGGGATTCATGAGCTGCAAGGATTACCTTAACATTGGAATATTAGGTAAATAATAGTGATGTGTAATCATTTCTCTTTGCCAAGATTTCTCAAAAATAGAATGAAAATATTGAAAAATTTAAAATTTCTTTAAGAATAAGAACTTGGTTCAGTCATTATCATTTCTTATGCTTTAGAAATGTCATTTTCACAACAGCGATATCACCTTTAGACATTAATGAATAGCTATTGATAACATGTGCCAAGATTAATATAGTTTTTTCCCCTGTTCTATTTCTGAATTTTACATGGGGTATCATGTATTTTCTTAAGAATCTTTAAAACACTCTAGTCTATGCTAGCTGTTAAAGAAGAAGTACAAATGGATTTGAGATTCATGGGGAGATTCATTGACCTAGGGAATCGGCAAAGAAAGCATTTGAACATGTGGTAAATAGATGGTGATAAAACTTTATCATGTGAAATAAGGCTGCAAAAATTGGTCTTTGTATGTTAGTATTGCCAAGATATGTTGATGAACTTAATTCTGAATGCACTAGGGAGCCATTGCACGTTCTTGAGCAGGAAGTGTATATAAGATTGGTATTTCAGGATAACCACTTAGGTATCAGGATGAGGGTTGGATTGGAATTTGTAGAGAAGGAAATCAGGAAACTATCAAGGTTGTCCAGACAATAGCTAATGAAAATCTGAGCTAGAACATTGCCGTTTAACAGTGGAATAGAGGATTAGAGTATTAAAAATATCATTGTGACTAAAAAAATTGAAAGAATTTAGTAGCAGATTGGATATACAAATGAAGTCCAGGGAGATGTTGAAATTGCTTCAAAGATTTACAAACTGGTTGATTGAAAATGTGAAAAAACATGGTTCATTTCTTTTAGGAAGAAGCTAACAAAGTAATAATCTACATAAGATATTTATTTTGCCCATTCTCTTTGGTTTTAGAGATAATGAATTTCTAGATTTGTATATACATTAAATAAATCAAGATAGCTGTAATTGAAAATTTTATACACTGCTAAGCTTCTTTAATAATTAAAGAGATACTTTACAATAAATGATAAGCTTATGTACAATCACAGACTTCATTCAGGTACTTAACAGATATTTATTGAGTCATTATAGGAAGTGGAAATACAGTAGAGAGTTAAACAAATATGGTTCTTGTGGAGTCATGGGATCTCGTGGGGGGACAAACATTATTTAAAAATATATTTTCCAGATAAATGTAAAATTATAGCTTTGATATATGAAGGTATAAAGGAATTTGAAAATTTCTAACCAGAATATAAAGACACAATATTCTAAACCAAAAATCGTAGCAGATATTTAAAAAATAATTTGAATTTCTACTCTAATCTGTGACTAATACAACTTCCTATAAAAGGCCATTATTGGATAATTGGAAATTAAAATGTCTAAATAACCATTCCCGTCGCTACAGTGCCATCTACAGGTATATAAGTAGTGGCTTCTCAACTGCCAGTAAAAGGATCTTTAAAGTAAAGATTGAAGAAATTTATTCTTAATTTTAAATGCAATTGTGGCTCTTCTATAACTAAAAAATAAGAAGAAATATGTCTGGTGTGGGTATTTGTTGAAAAAACTATAGCTAATTCTGACACATGGTACAACATGGGTGAATCCAGAGGACATTATGCTAAGGGAAATAAGCCAGTCACAAAAGATAAATATCGTATGATTCCGCTTATTTGTAGTATCTAGGATAGTCAAATTTGTGGAAACAGAAGGTGGAATGGCGTTTCTTAGGGACTTGGGAGAGGGGGAAATGAGAAGTTGCTGTTTAATAGGTAACAAGTTTTAGTTTTACAAGGTAAAAAAAGTTCTGGAACTTGGTTGCACAACAATGTGAATGTACTTAGCACTCTTGAACTTTACACAGGTTAAGGTGGTAAATATTGTGTTATGTATGTGTTTTTTACGAAAATGAAAAAAAAAAAGCACCACAGCTATATAAATAATAAATAATTTCCTTGCTGCATTTATGACTTTAATTTGGGACAAAGAGCTAGAGACTACAATGAATTCTCAGTGGCCTTGGTCAGTAATGGTGAGTGGAGATTCATTGTCCCCAGAACAAATCATTCGAGTTTGCTGCCAGGAGAGGGAGACATTCATTCTAATCCACCAAATCTGTTGCTCAGTTGCAAAAAAGACTGGCCTGGGAGATGTGACTAGACATGATTAAAGCTTCTAAATGTGGGTCTCTAACCGCTGGAGATGGTCTATTACAGCATTTTTGTTTTTGCTTGCTAAATACTGGACTATCTCACCAGAGCAGTTTCAGCGGAGTGGAGAAGTGGGTTTAGTTGAGGTGGGGTAAGAAGGGCCCACCTAGGGGTGGATTGCCACGACAATGGAGGCAGCAGATAAGAAATGATTTTCAAAAAACTTGGGTAAAAGTGGAAGGGAGTCGGAAAAAAAAAGAAGCCGAGGGATTGGGTCAAGGGGGATGAAGAAATTAAGATGGGAGAGACCTGAGAGTATTCATCACCTAAGGGAAAGAAGCTAGTAGAATGAAGAGAATGAAGATGTAAACAGAATGGGTAATTGACTAAACAGGGGCCTAGAGAAGGCTGGAAACATGACGCCAGGAGCACAGGTCAGTGAATTAATATTAGATAAGAGGCAAGATAAGAAAGGAGGTAGGCGTCCAATGCAGGGAAATGTGTTGATGTACTTGGGAATTTGAGGAGACTATTATTCTCTTACCTTAAATTTTTAAAGATCCTTAAAAAACCCTGTGAACTTAGTGTACTATACTTACTCATCGCTGTCATTCAAAAGACAAGGAACTGAAGGTAAAGAGAGAGAGGATAACTTACTCAAGTTTAGTCTATAAATAGTGACAGAATCACTGAACACAGAAACATTCCTGCCTGGCCTCCTCCCTCTCAGTGCTACTATTATCAATCAACCCACATTCTCCAGTTCTCCAAATGCTGGGTAACAATGGACTTTCCTAGGATTTCATACTACCAGGCTTCCATTCTACGATAAGGTTGTCCCATCGTGTGGGTTCTTCTTGATACAAGTAGAGATAGTGGCTCATATTTTGCTTAGCAGTTATGTTAAAGAATTGTTTTAGCATAGGGATTGTGTGAATGTTTCAGGCCTTGTCCTCTTAAAAATATTCATGGCAAAGACAAGACGTATATGATAAATTGGAACTGCTTCCAGGTCACCCATTTGCTGTGGCTGTGTTTGAGGATCACGTATGGTTCTCTGACTGGACTGTGCCATCGGTAATAAGGGTGAACAAGAGGACTGGCAAAAATAGGGTACGTCTCCGAGGCAGCATGCTGAAGCCCTCATCACTGGTTGTAGTTCATCCATTGGCAAAACCAGGTACACTGGACATGTTACACAGTCTGTCTTTGGCTGGAATCTGCAACTATTTTAATTGATGGCAGGGGAGGAGGGAGGATGTTGCAGTTCTCACCATTCTGGGTAGATGTTAAGATTTCCTGACATTTGGATTTCATTTAGAGTAAAAGATTGTCTGGCGGTGAATTTGGGCTTTATTTCTCCAATCTCATTTTTTTCTCCTGAACAGCTTTTACTTATCTGCTCCTTTTAAAAGACTCTTAGGTTATAGGCTCTAAGGGTGGGGCCGGGGGGAGGGGCAATCTAGATACCTGCAGTGGAAGCTTCTGTCTACACTGGGGCCTTTCTCCACCCACTGAGAGTGCCGGGGAGTGAGCAAATAGAAAAGGCATCTAGTGTCCTACAGTCATTCTTCATTCTGAATTGCCCTTTGTCAGTTTGACTAGATCATGAGTTAGGAAGTAGGAATTTCATCTGCCTAAAATGCTTCTTGGGCAAAAGTACTGGTTGTAATCAATGAATACTCATGAGGTAATAGCATTCTGAGCTTAGTGGCTCCTTATAGAAACTCTTCTGAAATAGCTCTTCATATAGGCTCCATTACATGCATTGAATTCCCTTCCCCCAAAGCTGCACACTGTGATTTGTGTAAACGGCACCCTTTTGATCTCCAAGCCCGTCTGTGAATGCACCTCTTTCCCCACCAGGAGCAGATCCCTGCTTATATCAAAATGGAGGCTGTGAACATATTTGCAAAGAGAAGTTTGGAGCTGTTCAGTGTTCGTGTCGTGAAGGTTTTGTGAAAGCCCCAGATGGGAAACTCTGTCTGGCTCTAAATGGCCATCAGGTATTGGCAGGTAATATAATAAATTATGTAGCTAAATTATCTTGACTTGGCTCAGGAATGTTGTTCTGTTCTATGTTAAATCCTATGCTTTTGCTGATTTTTACTATTTTGTATAATTAAAAACTCCCCTGCTTTTAGGGATGCCAGATGATTTTTTTTTTCCTTCCTCTGATGAGTTTGGGCTCCTGTTATTAAAGACAATTCAACAGACCTCTTCTAATTAAAATTAGTTCACAAAAGATAATTTGCAAAGTCCAATCCTCTAGCCCCCTATAGAGTAGCCCAACCTTAGAAATAAATGCCGGTATTTTACCACCTCAGATAATGTTCAGACATTTTATTTAGAAGTTTTATAGGTAGTCTTATACAAACCCCCTATCATGTGACTAGTCTTAGTATGGAAGGCAAAGTCCTTTCTAATAAATAATATTAAGATATCAAGTGTGGAGAATCCAACCTGAGAAGGCTGTGATCACGTTTTTAAAAACTATGGCTTTGTGGAAGAGGAAGGAAGAGTGGATCAAGCATGATATAAAGTCGGTAGTCCTGACTTGCTTCCCTTGACTGTTCATTTAACAATTACAGTGTATTTGGATTCATTTTTTGATATCTTTGTACCAAAAACAATTCAGATTTTATTACAAACATTTTTAAAAAATTTATATTCATCTGATAAGTACGATGTAAGTTAGATGACACATTGACAGCAAATAAATGGATCGATCTATCCATGGACCAGAATTAGATATTTTAGATTTTCAGAACTTTCTATTAATTGTTGCTTTAGGAAAATAGTTCTCAATCTTTTTGGCTTCAGGTCCCCAAAGAGTTTTTATTTATGTAGGCTATATCTATCAATATTTGTATTAGAAGTCGAAACTAAAAAATTCTAAAATATTTCTATTAAAATTATAATAACACTTCATTATATATGACTATAACATTTTTATGGAAATAAATGAAATAATTATATTTTCCAAAACAAAACTATGTAGTAAGAAAAATTGCATTGGTTTACCTTTATATCTTTAATATCTGGCTTAATAGAGGCCAGCTGGATTCTTATACCTGTTTGTCTGTTAAATCTTTTGCTTCGCTGTTTTGGTTGAAGCCTCTGAAGAAAATCTGACCTCACGCAGATGTAGAGATGGAAAAGAGAGAAATATCATTAGCCTTCTCAGATGCCTTTTTTGGTATTTATTCTTTTGATATTATATCAGAACTAGACAGGGGGTAGTTTCTTGGAGCTTAGTTGCAGTGTGGAATCTGAAGCCATATCAATGAATTTTTTGTCCTCTGATTCATTAAAATCCAGTGGTCTATGTTGTACTTTGAGTGCATCTTTTACCTTGCGTCATGATTTTGTAGCATCATGTTTTGGTCATTTGAAAATACTGATTGACTGAGTTATGCAGATCTTTCATGTTACATTAATGTACAAAAAATTACATTAATTAATTATTATTATCAAATTCGTCAGAAAAGTCTTCAAATATTGAGATTTTTTTCAAACTCATGGTAGTGGAAAAATTTTTCCAAGATTCTACTTTTCATTTGAAAGCTCAAATTTTTATCATTGGCAACAAGTACTGTGAGTTGTTGCCTTGAAGTGACAGGCTCACTTCATTCATTTTTCAAAAAATGCTTTGCCAAATCCCTAAGTGCTAATAACACAGTTTATCAGTCATTCTTTCAAGTAAAAATCATGTTCAATTGAAAAAAAGAAGCTAGTTTCAGCTCACAACTCCAAGTGTGTACAAGTGCTTTTCGTCCAGATAAACTTCATAATCAGCATCTTCACAGATAACAGTGTTTTGTGTGTACTTCCCACTTCATTATACAGAATATCAAAAAGTCAAATATTCTATGGTTGAGATTTGAAAAAATTAATAATTTTTGCTATTCATCATGGATCTTCTTAAGTGAAAATGGAGTGTGTGTGTGTGTGTGTGTGTGTGTGTGTGTCTGTTTGCATATGGCAGTGAAGAACATGACTACTAGTATAGTTTGGTGCCATGGCCTTGATTCATGCTAAAGCACTTTAGTTACACCCATCATTGCTTTTTCCCATCAGTATCAATGTAAGTACAGTGAAAAAAGGCAAAAAAAAAAAAAAAAAAACAAAAAACCCCTATTAAAGTTATTTGCCTTTTATGAAAACAGTTTTGTCCTTATGGACTCCATTCAATGGGATCTCAGGGATCCATAGACCACACTTAGAGGACACACCTTGTGTTTCAGGGGAGGCATTTCTCCCACATCTGGGGAGTGGCATAGGTCCCGTGCCGATATTAAATGATGGCTTGTTTATGCCATTTCACATTTCTAAACACAAGTAAAATCAGGCTAAAATAAGTTTTGAAAGAAGCCT